GAAAGCTATGTCATTTTATTTCTTAAACGTCAATTCTACTTGACATATGACGGATACAATATGTAAATGTCATATTTCTATGTCATATGTCAAATAAAATTGACGTTATAAATGACAATTATTATAAATATAAACAATGATCTTAGATTATAAAAAACAATTGACAGGTGACAGATGTCATCCATTAGTAAATTAAATAAATGTTATGTAATGTTTGAGAAATTGACAATTTGACAAACAATACAAAATTTTAATTTACACATATATATATTTATAATTAAAATATTTTTCATAGTATAATTCCAAGTATATAATTTCAATGTTTTCATTCATACTTTTTCCGTAGAAGTAAATGAATATGACTTTATATAAAAAAGATAATTTGACAGCTTGGAATTAAGACAGTTGACATAAGAGAAAAAAACTTGAACATTATCAAAGTTGATTTTATATATTGCTTTGTAAATAAAAAAAAAATGACAAAATGTCAAAATAAATTTTCGAATCGAAATCGAAATTTATGATGACGATTTATTAAAAATATGTAATTAACAATTTTTTTTTATTTTCTCACATAAATTTTCGTCGTGATTGATGCACCATAAACATTTGACATTTCAAATTAATAGTACTATATTAATAATACTACACTTTTACCTTTTGTTTACGTAAAAGGTGTAAATTCTTTTTTTTATAATTTATCGACTTTTCGACTTCCTTTTTAATTAAAAAATATGCGAATGTAGACGGAGAGAAAGAAATAGAAGAAGATGGATTCGGCGAAATTCTTGGTAATATCGAAATTATGCAGAGAAATAAATGAATAATTTTTAATTTAAATAATCGACTGCGTCACAAGAAAAATTATCAGCATCATCTTTTTTTTTGCATTTCACTAATTAGTTTTAGTTTATAATTTGACATTTACATATAACTATTATAATAACATCCTTGTGAAAGCTATGTCATTTTATTTCTTAAACGTCAATTCTATTTGACATATGACGGATACAATATGTAAATGTCATATTTCATATGTCATATGTCAAATAAAATTGACGTTTATGACAATTATTATAAATTATAAACAATGACTTAGATTATAAAAAAAAACAATTTACAGGTGACAGGTGGCATAATGTTTGGGGTTGATTGATCATTATATTAAAATATTGCATAAGACTACAAATATTAAAATTGACCATTTGACAAGCAATTCAAAATGTTAATTGATATATTTATAATTAAAATAATGACAAGCGACATATTTATAAATGACATATTGACAAGTGACATATTGACAAGTAACACATTAACAAGTTTGCCCCTAAAATGTGTGTATCTACAAGTACTAGAACTAATTTCCAAGTATATAATTTCAATGTTTTCATTCACACTTTTTCCGTTATTATATATTTTTTTATTTCTGTACCACAGATAACATTTTAATTCATAAATCTGAATTCCATTTATGAACTAATTACAAAACGAGCGCAGATAATTTCGGTTCTGATAACTTCGACGACAAAATCTCGATTTAGCGGAAGTTGAAATTATCGTTTCATTTTTTTTTTGCCAACGCCAATTAATTCTCGCAAATGTCAGTTGATATAACGAACACACAAAAAAAACGAGGAATTGTATAATTTCACTTGTTAATTAAACTACATAAATTACCATAGACTTATGTACAATCCTAATTTAATATTTAAAAGAAGATACAAATTTTGTATTCTGAAATTTCATGTTGTGTAAGGCAAAAGATATGCAGATTTTATTATTTGTCTGTTTATGTGACATAATTTTTTTATAAAAAAAAAAACTTGTTTTCTTTTTGTTTGTTTATGAATTATACAATAGTTTCACGGAAATTCTGATAAATTTGAATCACGTTCTGCTTAATTGCCAATACAAATGGTAATACGTAATTCAAATTATATTTTTTTTTGCATAATTTAATTATACCGTTTGTTTTATTAATGATTTTCATAAGATCCGAATTAATCAAAAAATACATCAAATTTGATAGAAAACAACCTAACTTAATACTTTCTTACAAAAAATGACATTCTTACAAAATCCATTTGACAGGTGACATATGTCAACCTCAAATAATTTAATTTTACTTTGACATATGTCAAATTAAATTTGAAGAAATTGACAAATATTAGATGTACGTAACTGCCTAGAAGTAACATATTGATATGGAAGAGATGTGCCTGTTTAATGCTAAAAAAGATGAAAAGTTGCGAATGTATACATTTGAAGAGCAACAAACTGTCATAATAAATAATTCCAAATTGACAGGTGCCAGTTGAAATGTACTGAGTAACGATTACCTACAACTGATGTTTACGCAAAGGAAAGAAGAAACATTGGAAAACACGTGCGTTTTGACAGCTGCAAATTGGCGCACCATATGTCAATATGTGGTATGTTGCGATGCGGATTCTTCCGATGCTCGGAAAGTTTCTAAGAAAAAGCGTCCCCATTATTTATTCAAGTTGATTTAATTTCCCGCCGTAAATAAACGAAACATCTCAACACTTTTCAATGTAAAATAAGTACACTTATGTATATATATATACATGCATGCATGTACATAGGAGTCTCGGAATTTGATCAGCTGTTCTCGCGATCCGCCATCTCCTTGTTGACGTTCTCCGTTTTGTTGTTTCATCACGGATGAATAGCTCGGCAGAGCACGCTGGATGCAGAAGTGGGATATAATACCAATTGCACGGATACTTTGTATGCGTGCAATAATAACACGTTCTCCGTTGGTAATTTATGTACATATACGCGAAATATGTAAAACACATTTCATTACACGTCTACGTTAATTGAAAACAAGATTACATCTACGCATATACAGGGTGTCGAAATTCAAGAATCACATATATTTATTTTTAAAATTATCGAAAATTTGAATCATTTTTTTAAAAAATTTATTCATTATCTCAAAAACTTAATGTATCTTTTAAGATTTCATAAGAAGCGGCCCACAGTTGCGCATCTTTTGATAAAAACATTATTACCTAACAATAATTAATAACTGATATATGGCGATTTTTCAATTTCATTACATGTCTTCACGTTTTATTTAATTACTCGAGAACCGCTGACGATAATTATATCGTGAAATATGCAAATTAAAGAAGAATGTATGGCCTTTCTAATGGTATTTTTATTTTTTTATATAATTTGCAGAATGGATACGTGGTATGCAACAATAACAGTTGTCCCAACACCGATGGCTGTCATCTCCTGGTTGCCAAATCGAAAGACGAATGCTGCGAAAAGTGCCAAGGTACGTTGTGTTTGCATTTCTCTAGTATATTCTCTTCTTGTTCTGCTTCGCACTCTTAATTTAATGTTTACATAACGTTACGCTTCTTTTAGGTTGTTACTTCAATGGCACATACCATGCGAGCGGCACCGAATGGACGGATCCGGAGTCGCCCTGTGTGGTGATGAGATGCGAAGCGGGCGTCGTTACGCAATCCAATCTTCAGTGCTACGTGCCGTGCGACAATCCGCTGCCTCCAGCCAAAGGAAAATGCTGCTCGACTTGTCCAGGTTCGCAACTATTTTCTTTTTCCTTACCCTCATTGGAATTGAAATACTATAATAACGATCGTTGTTTTCAGATTGCAGAATCAATGGGCAGATCGCAACTGACGATAGGGACGTGACTTCCGATGATCCTTGTGTGAAGTGTCGTTGCAGCGGCGGAAAGATGACCTGCTCGAAGAAGGCCTGTCCGGTTCTTCAGTGCGTCAAGGATGAGCAGGAGCCAGGGGAATGTTGTCCCAGGTGCAGAGGTGTTAAGAGCCATTATCAGTCTTCGCACTTCTGCGTTCTAGCTAAAAAGATGTACAAGGAGGGCGACTACAAGAAGATCGATCGATGCACCGAGTGCAACTGCATCAATCAGACTTCCATCTGCGTCAGGCAGAGTTGTCCCATCCTCAATTGCACTGCAGATATGCAGAAGAAACGGCCGGATAGTTGCTGCTACGAATGCATGATTCCGGAGACCTTCGAGTGGACCACGAAGTGTGTCATCAATGGAAACGTCTACCAGGCGAGTATTTTACTTTTTCGTTCTCAATCAAATAAACCATTCATTTCACAAAGATATACACAAACAATGCATGGGGCGTACACCGCTTTTGCTCCCACGTTCCCTTTTAAACAACAATTACACCTTCTAAATTAAGCTCACTTTACACAAGAACTGCAATTAAATAAATAGGTTACATATTGGTTAATCTTACTATTACTATTCATGTTTCCAAATAACATTTAGTTCATTTATTTACAATAGATGGCGTATTGACAGAAACGTCACTAATTGACAGTTAGGTTAGGTTGCATGTTAGTTTTTTTTTTATCAGTATAGTGTTAATAATGAATTTTGCTAGGCAGAACGGTCAATCGTGGCGTCTTGATGCGTGTAGTTCTTGCAAATGCAACAACGGAATGCCCAGTTGCGCGAGGACAAGATGCAATGTGACGGAGCCGTGTCCATACGGAACTCATTTGGTGCACGCGAAAGGAGATTGCTGTCCGAAGTGTCAAGAGAGTAAGTAAATTGATAAAAAAAAATCAATGTAATTAAGTGATTTGTGCGTTTCTTTGATTGTTGTAGAAGAAGGAGTGTGCAGGGCTTTCGGAGATCCTCACTACAAATCGTTCGATGGTAAAATCTTCACGTTTCGGGGATTGGGAAAGTACCAGTTGACGTCGGATTGCCAGAACCACACGTTTTCGATTCGAGTTACGAACGATTTCAGCAGTACGAACAGGAGTTCGACGTTGACGAAGAGGGTTCGCATCAAGTACGGAAAGACTAGGATCAATTTGGGTCAGAAGTATAGGATCAGATTGGACGGGTATTCGGTTTCGACGCCGTACAAAGGAAGCGGCGTTCTCATCGAGAAGGAGCAGTACCATCTCGTGGTGACTCTCAGCAATGATGTTAAGATCCTGTGGAACGGTCAGAGCTTCCTCGAGGTTACGGTGCCCACCGTATTCAAATCGAAGCTGTGCGGGCTTTGCGGCAACTTCAATTTGAACGTGCAGGACGACCTCAAGATGAGGAAGGGCGGTGTCACCAAGGACGTGTCGCAGTTCGGGCACTCGTGGTGCGTCGGCAAGGATTGCACGAGGATGCAAAAGAAGTCTTTACAGATGAGGTCGTGCCGAGGACGTTCGCACGAACGTAACTCTTGCGAACTGTTGAAGACGAGCAGGACCTTCAACGGATGCGTTTCCAAGCTGAACTACGTCAAGTATCATGAGGCGTGCATGATGGACATGTGCGACTGTCCTAATGACAGGTGCTACTGTGACAGTTTGATGGCGTACGCCCAGGAATGTCAGAGGTTGGGCGTCGATGTTTCCGGTTGGCATAGGAACAGTCATTGCGTCGGTAGCGCGACGACGTCGCTGACGCCGAGCGTCCACCACAAACATCCGAAACCTAAGATGCCAAAATACAATAAGGCCGCGATACTCAAGCTCCAGAGGCTCTCCAATACCAAGAAGAAGGGACAGGAACCGCCCATCAACTGATCGAATCCCACCGAAACTAGGTTGTTTGCATTGAACTAGTCATTGACAGTATTTTGTTTAATTAATATTATTATTAATTATAATTATTATTTTTTTTGCTCTTGATAATAACAATAACGTTATATATATGCCATTGCCTCACAATAGCACGAAACTACAGTATCCCAGGTATAGAGAACAAAAGCCGAGCATCCGAGAAAGAAGCAGAGAACGTACACTTAACTACTTCTATCATTATTTTTTTTAATTATTATTTTATACTTAACAATCTGAACCAAAGACAATATTTGTTTTTTTTTTATTAATTATTATTATTATTATTATATTTTTTTTATACTTACACGAGAAGAGAAAAGGAACATAATCATATTATTATTTTTTGTACATAGTAGTTAACAATTAATAACGAGATCTCCCCCTTTTTTTTTAACTATTAATTAATCACACATGGATCACACACAATTCCCATTAGAGTTGGCTACCATCATTTGAAAATTCTTTCATTTAGAGAAGGACAAAAGAACAACGAAATTCGAATAACGGTAGAGAACTGTTCAAAGAAAGATACGAAATAGAGAGATACAAACGGATCCAAAAAAGATGAAAATAAGTTCCTCCAGCTTCAAGAGACGCCAACGACTATTATTTGAATATTATATAATAATTATTATTTGTTTGTTTGTTTCTATGATTACATTTTTTTTTTGTAAAACGCACAGGCAATATGTACATAATTTTATTTGTAATAAATTTGTATAGTTTATATAATAAATAATTTTTAAAACAAACATAATTTGACTTCCTTCATAGTATTTTTAAGAAAAAATGATTAAAAATTTTAGATTTTTTTATACTAATTTGAAGGATTTTGAAGTAAATTGTTGAGAAGTTACAATTATATAATTGGAGACGCATAAGATGATTGGAAATGTTGCTTAGATATTGGGTCAATGCTTATTGGTTGAAGGCATATGTTGCTTTTTTTTCTTTTTCTTCTGTTTGAACAGCTGTCGTAACATTACCAAGGGTAATTGATTGTACACTTCTGGTGTGCAAATATGAATTTCCAATCTTCCGTAATTGAATTATGCAATTGCTTACATAAACACTACAAAGCAAGGAACATTTTGCGCATCAAGATGAACTCTAAATTTTCCTTAACCTTGTATTACTCTTTGTAAAGTTGTTGCATTTACTATCAACATTATTTTTAATATTAAACATTTGATAATTGTATTTCAAAAATATTTCAAATATTTCATTTTTCTTTTATAGATAGGCCACCAAACTACCTTTCTAGAATTTGAAATAAAATTAATGTTTAAAAGCTTTATTATAAAGTCTGTATATAAAGTCTGTAAATAAATAAATTTTGCAGTGAAATTATTAAAATAAACGATGCCAACATAAAAAAGTTAAAGAAAAAAGTAGTAACAGAGTTTTATTATAGGCAAGCAAATGTACACAATTTTTCATAGAAAATGCCTATAGGTTGTTCATACTTATAGGCAAAATTCAATATAATTTCCTAATTTCTGAAATGGAAAAACGCAAAGTTTATATTTATTTGTTGGGTCTATATCGCAATCCCGACAACCGAAAGACCGTCTATTGAAATCCAGACGTTCGAAATCCCGACTATATCATCCCGACAACCATAATCCCGACTATATCAAAATCCCGACTATATTAAAATTCCGACAACCATAATCCCGTATCAGAATCTCGACAACCATAATCCCGACTATATCAAAATCCCGACTATATTAATATCCCGACATCCATAATTCCGACTGTATCAGAATCTCAACAACCATAATCCCGACAATCATAATCCCGACTGCATCAAAATCCCGACTATATCGAAAATTTTTACATTTTTTTTTACTTGTGCTACACTTTTATTATTAATAACAATAAATTATTATTTATTTTTTTTGATTTTATTGAATTATTCATAACAAACCTTAACATTATGATATAACAATTTAAATTTTGATACAGTTGGGATCATGGTTGTTGGGATTTTAATATAATCCGAATTTTGATATAATCGGGATTATGGTTTTTGGGATTTTAATATAGTCGGGATTTTGATACAGTCGGGATTGTGGTTGTTGGGATTTTAATATAGTTGGGATTTTAATATAGTCGGGATTTTGATATAGTCGGGATTATGGTTCTTGTTATTTTAATATAGTCGGGATTATGGTTGTCGGGATTTCGATACAGTCGGGATTTCAATACGCGGTCTTTCGGTTGTCGGCTTGCGATATAGACCCGTTCATACTTATAGGCAAAATTCAATATATTTTCCTAATTCCTGAAACAGAAATACTCAAAGTTTATATCTATTTGTTTTATTAAAGTTATGTAATAATAATTTTGAAAAATTTTGACATTTATTCTTTGCCTACTTTCAATAGTCATGTTACCACAACCAAAATAATTAAAAACATGATTATTTTCTTATTTCATATGATTAATTAACAATACTAATTACTAATAGAATTAATAGAGAGAAAAACAAACAAATACGTAATAAAAATGTGGAAAGGGACAAAAAAAAATGAGACACAAAATTGTTTTTTTTTTTTAATAATATTTATTAATTAGTTCACAAATACATAATAATAATAATTTTCATTCATAATTTATATTTTTTTTTTGCATTTTCATAAATCTTATTTTGTTTTGATAAAGAAATATTACATGCGTTTATTGCTCATATTATTTTCACATGGTAGTTAATATCATGAAATTTTATTAAAACTCTTCAATCGACCAAAACGAAACAAAAATTAACAACAAAAAAAGAAAAACAAAAATCAGCGTGTAATTTGTTTGTTTGTTGTTGTTATGGGTTACATTTTTTTTGTTATTGTTAATATTATCGTTCGAACGGTGCGAATATTTAACAGTGAATAAAATATATCGTAAACAACATTCTTCTCTTTTTTCATCATCAATTAATTAATTTATTTATTAATTAACTTACACCACTTCTTTGTTTCTCGTTACATATTTTATTTTATTTTTTTTGGTTTCTCTCGTATTTCTTTTTTTTTGTTAATAATTTCAATTGTTAATTACTTACAAGGTAGTAAAATGCGTACGAACAATACAAATGTAAGTAAAAAATAAAATTATTACCTATTAAACATTCAAAAAATTATCACCTAAAAAAAGGACGATTCCTCGTCTCTCTTCCACCTTGGACTATATATATATATATTTATATATAATATTTTTGTTATTATTTCCTCGTCGTTCAATTCAATTTCAATCAAATCCCATCCATCGATTTTGTATACTTGTTTTATAATTTCATATAGGAATTCAACAGTGTTTGTTTTCACAAAGAAGAAGTAAATAATACAAAAAAAACACAAGCAACATTGAAAGAAGTAGAAGAAAACTAGTATCTAAAGTTTACAGAGAATCGAACGTAACAAATTAACATTAGATTAGAGCAATAAGCATCGAAATTTAGGGAGAATTTAGGTAATCATCATTATATTAGAATTTATTTAAATTTGTCGTTTAATTAATTTTATTTTTTAATATTTTTCAATCATTCCTAGTAAATCGTGTAGCTCTAAAGGAAATACAAAAATAACTTTTTTTTTATTTCAGAAAAAAGATTTGATTCGACAGGACCGGATTCAGATTTTTTTTTAGAAAAATCTTCAATCCGGCTCTGATTTCTTCCATTTCACCCGGATTACACTAAGAGAGAGAGTAAAGTTTTTCTTTTGTTTTTTTTTGCTAGACAAGCGTAAGTACATCGCTACAGTAAGACATAGATAAAATAAGTATGTAGGTTCACCTAATTTATTCATTTTAATTAATCCTAAGAGTGGGTTTGCTTTGCTTCTTGTTTATATATATTATTTTTTTTTGTTTCTTTTTTCTTGTTACTTTGTTTATTTTTTTTCGCTTTTCTTCTTTTTTTCTGTCAACTCGTACCATTTTTTTTCTCTCTATTTGAGGTCCACCATGCATTTTTTTTTAATTTACTTTTTTTATAACATTATATAATTATATTCACACAGGATGCAGCAGTTCATCACTAAATAAATAATACTTTTGTCGACTTTTTCCTCATGTTTTTGTTGCGTTTGCAGATTTCATCGACAATCGTGCACGGTTTCAAGTGTTTGTATAAATTTGCAATAATCTATAACAGCGTTTCTACACCTTTTGATTGTAATTGTACAACGACCTAAATTGTCGCAAAATGACAGCTGTCACCTTACGTCAAAAGTGACAGCTGTCATTTCGTGAAAGTTAACGATACACGTAGATTGAGAAACGCTGTTATATAACATCTAAAGTTGGCTTAATCCACTAAATAATGTATATTTTTTAGCAATGATCTCAATATTTATATCTATTAATTAAGGCAATAAAGGATATTCCATAAATCGTATTTTTAGTATCACTTTTGACGAAATTACAAGTTTTTTTTTCGTGGCATTGAAGGACGTAACAAGTATTAACTATAATCTGAATAGATAGAAAATAATGGTCAATTAGATGTAGATTACAACGAACTTTTGGTATTAGATAGAAAACGGATATAAATTGATAATAATGATCCAATTTACTTTCTGTTTAATCCAATATTGTTTTCTCAATAAATCAGAAGTTAGAAGTTTTTGGAAAGTTTTCTAATACAAAAATTACTAATTATTAATTAGAAAATGATAAAACTGCAGAGAAAATTAAAAAAATAGTAAATATTATATAAAAAACATCTACACAAATTGAAGACAAATATTCAGAATTTACTAAAAAAATAGTTTTTAAAAAATGCGAAGAAAGTGTTAATTAATATAAAGAATAACCAAAATTTCAGTTTAAAACAATTACAGAAAGTGTTAGGTGGTAAAAATTAAGAATGAAGATAAAAAAAATGCAGAAAGTGGTAACAAACTTCAACAAAAGAAATTTAAATAAATAGTTAAAAGATTAGTAATAAATTAAAGATTGGATTAATAAAATTTGTAGAAAGAGTTAAGAAAGATAAGGTAGGGATTAGATAAAGATAGCTTCAACTTTTCTTCCTCAACTAATTATGGATTTGGATTTGGATTTGTAATATTAATTGAAATTTGTATAAAGAAAGTTGGTTTAAATTAAATTAGTTATTTATTGAATTAGTGAACGAAAATCGTCTATGATTGAGGAACGTTTGTGGTAACGTAACGTAACCTTGACCACTGGAAATTAGTCCTAATTATGTAACAATGCAAACAATGTATGCCACGTATTAATAATGTGTACTCATGAGTTGTACATGCATTATAGTTTTTTGTTGTTGTTGTTATTGCGGCAAGGGTTGATCAATAGTTTTCCCATTTCCTCGCTCGAAATAAAAAAACACGTGAAGGAAATATCAATTATCGAATGCATTTAACAATAAACTAAGTGAATACAAAAATAAAAACAATAGACATTTTATGTTATTTACTTGAAATGATATTATCAATTAAGCTTAGATCCAAAAGACTTGTTTTTGGGGCCCACGCTTTTTATTCGAGGGCCCCACGAGTTTTGATTGGGGCCCACGATAAAAATCTTTGAATTACAATTCAAGAATTCATATTTTGCTGTTAAGTTAGTAAGATGTTGACAATTGAAGTCTTCTCCCATCATCTACTCAACTCATGCGTAGGGCCCACAGTAATCTTGATCATTGTTTACAAATTGTTATTTTTATTCAGTTTTAATAGGATATTTAGTAACCAACTTTAGCTGTGCAATATTTCCTGTAAATCCTATGAATGAAAAAAAAAGTTTTACTTGAAATGATATTATCAATTAGGCTAAGAGCCCACAAGTCTTTTTGGGGCCCACGCTTTTTATTCTGGAGCCCCACGAGTTTTGATTGGGGCCCACGATAAAAATCTTTGAATTACAATTCAAGAATTCATATTTTGCTGTTAAGTTAGTAAATTGAAGTCTTCTCCCATCATCGACTCAACTGATGCGTAGGGCCCACGGCAATCTTGATCAATGTTTACAAATTGTTATTTTTATTCAGTTTTAATAGGATATTTACTAGCCAACTTTAGCTGTGAATAACTGCAATATTTCCTGTAAATCCTATAAATGAAAAAAAAGTTTGTGCGATCAAAAATTGTTTTCTCTGAATCTTCAGTAAATAGAAATGAAGTTTTTGTTTATAAAAAATATATATGTCCGTACAAAATATTCAATCTGTTTTTCTTATGTTGTGTTTTTTTTCCTTCTTCTATGTGGTCAGTATTGTGCGAAATGGATTCAGACAAAAGCGGATTTGCGATTGATACGAAACCCGAATTTGCGATAAATTATTCAATTATCGAATGATTCATGGATGAAATCTGCAAACACTACTCAAACCTTATCGTAAATAATGAACCGAAGTTCGCATCCCGCCAAACGTACACACACGAAAAAAATAACTAACTAACAAATTGCACAGTATCACATGTTTCATTATTACAATAATTTCAGTTTCTTTTTCAAAAAACTTTTAACTTTAATGATGTAATATTATCGTGTGTTTTTTTCTTCAACATGTTTTTTTTACACTCTTTATTTTCATGTTTCTTTTTTTGGTTTGGGTGAAGTTTATTTCATAGAAACTTAACGTCCTTTACAATTTATTTTAATATTATTAAATATTATTTACAAATAAATATATTTTAATGTATAATATAAAAATCACATTTTTGATATGTTTTGTTATCTTTCATTTATAATAATAATAATATATCTTAATTATTTTTTTTATATTATACCACGATAAAATTTGATATGTGTAGTTGTTTTGTTGATAATTAATTAATTAATTAATTACGTTTACATAGCTTAAATAGTTAATTATACTTAATGGTATTAGTAAATTTTATTCTTTTTTTAGTAAGTATAGCTCTTACAAATGGAATGCGAGAATCTTAACTGGTGATAATAATTAGATTTTTTTTTCACTTAATTATTACAGGTTCATTTTTTTTTCAATAAATATTACCTTCAACATTCATTAGTTTTTATACAGTTGTGTGCAGCACAATTAACAATCGTGGATCCAATGTGGAGTGGCTTCATCAGGTGCGTTTTTTGATAAATTTCTTCATTCGTTTTAACGTACTCTATGTTCGCACTAACGTACTTTATGTTCGCGCTAACGTACTTTATGTTCACACTTGCGTACGCACACTTTGTAAATTCCCATTTTATAATTTCAGTACGTTTTTCATAAAAGTCTTATATGTTCACACGAACGTACGATTATAAAATTCAAGTTAGATTGAAAAAAATACGTTAAGTGAGCGTTGGCTGTACAAATTTCCTTTGCGTGTAATGATCAATATGATCTAATCGATAAATGAAATTGGTAACTTGAGGTTAGGTAACAATTGTTGATTGCGTATTAAAAATATGTATATTTGCGAAGAAGGTTTTGGAGAGAACCTTGAGAGTTTACACGTGAAATCCTTTAAAAAAAACTGAATCGGATGATCGCGTTTCATGTAATATTTAACCGAAATCCGCAAAGTGACAGCTGCCAAAAAAAAGGATGCACGCGGAATGAAGTGAAACTAGACCACTTGATCCGCAACATGTTTTTTCAATTATTCCCGAAATCCGTTTGTTTCCTGCCACTCTCTTATGCAATATTCATCGAGTTGCTCGACCAAAAGCAAATTCAAAGACACACACTTCAAAATAAAAAAAGAGCGGCAAATTCAAACGACAAGTCCCATCACATCACAATATTAAATATTCATCGAAATGGCGCATGTCTTTCTACGCGTAATGTGACTCGAATTCAAACGTTTCTTTAAAATTTATGTCATGAGTCAAAAATTTCAAATTTATTTAAGAAAAAATATAAATATTTCGTATACAAAAACAATACTTTAATTACGTTAATAAATTGATTGTTCAATTTCAATGTTCTTGAAACCGTCTCGTCCTTTTGGGTTAATTAAACTACTTATTCCAGTTTCTAGATGCGTCTTCTCGGAAACATCCTTCACGGTTTGTTTAACAAGGCTCATTGATTAAAGTGGTTTTGGCTGTAAGTGACCGTAGAAATTATCAAGTGAGCATGAAATTTCACGTTTAGTGATGCACTTTGAATCCTAAATTACTACATTAATTTTTGTTCTAGATTGTTTTTTTTTTTATTAAACAGTTGAAATTTTTAGATTATTATTATTAACAATTTTTGGGGTGCTTCAAGTCTAATTATTAATTAATTAGGAGATAAATATTAACAAAAATTTAATAACATTAAATTACTTCAAATTTTAACAATTGGTGTCATTGTTTAAATCATCAAAAATTCAACTACAATTATTTTTTTATATAAAAATCTACGACTTTTTTTCAGGTAAAAATTTGATATGTTATTTATTACTTGTATTTCTCTAAGGCATTTATTCTTCGATCAGCAATTTAATGCAATCTATTCACTAACATTTAAATGATTCAATTAATTTGATAAATCTTTAAACACAAATAAATATGATTTATGACAACAATATAAATTTTGTTTCTAATAATTATTTATAAATTTATTAAAAAAAAACTTAACAAGTTGAAATATTTACTCTAATATATTTTTGACACAGTTTTTTTTGTTGTTGATATATTTGTGAAACAGGTATATTGTCTCAATAAAAATACTTGAAAAGTTACGATTTTTGGTGTTCATTTACGATATTCTGAGTTGTAATAGCTGTCAACTTATAATTAGTCCAATAAATCCTTTAGAAGCACCCCAAAATAGATCAAATCAATAATACGTAGTAATCATCATTATGTCATTAAAATATTAACTGCTTGATGAAGTTAAGTTAACCTTCAATACAATTTCAGCTGTCATTGTTACATAACGGAATTTTCATGATCAAATCCTATTATGCAATTAAACTATCATTAATGACGTTTTTATAAAATTGATAGCTGTCAAATATTTCTTATTGATGACTGCTGTCAATTTTTTTAATTAATATTATGACATCTGTCAAATTTGTGTCTTCTGATAGCGAATGTGTAATTCGGTGATGTAATTTTTAAGGACAACATTTTTCTTTTGGCAGCTGTCATTGGTAAAACTCTCGATTCGTTAGTAAATTAAAGCGAAAATAGATGAAATCAATAATACGTAGTAATCATCATTATGTCATTAACATATTAACTGCTGGATGAAGTTAAGTTAACCTTTAATACAATGACAGCTGTCATTGTTGCATAACGGAATCAAAACCTATTATGCAATTAAACTATCATTAATGACGTTTTTATAAAATTGACAGCTGTCAATTTTAAATTAATATTATGACATCTGTCAAATTTGTGTCTTCTGATAGTGAATGCGTAATTCGGTGATGTAATTTTTATGGACAACATGTTTCTTTTGGCAGCTGTCTCTGGTAAAACTCTCGGTTCGTTAGTAAATTAAAGCGAAACTATTTCTCGCGACAATCGCGATGATCTTAATTAAAGCCTGCTTTCGCGGCGGGAATTTTATTCAAATTCACAGTGACACGTGTCTCGGATTTCGCACGAACGAGCATCAGCTTATTCCATTTTCCGCCCCCACGTCTGTGAAAAGGACGCAAAGAAAACGAACCAAAAAAAAAAAGAAACATAACTTTCTTCCCACTCCGTTTCTTTGATATGTATGTGATTCCTTTTAGAAGAAAACAAAACCCCTTTCTTCATCCACTCCAACCCGAACCTCCATTATATATTTAAATATATTATTTGTTTTATATATATATGTATTAAATATAGGTATAATAATTTTAATATTTTAAAAAAATATTTTGAGCATCGTATTTTCGAACGTTTACAAAGTAATTAATTAAACCTACACCGCACATTGATTATGTAAGATTATGATGGTTTTTATGTGTGTGTGTATATATATATTTTCTTCTTTATTATGTTTTGTATATGTAAATAAACTTGATATGTATCGTTGAAGGATTCACTTATTTATTTTATTTTTTGATGATGATCCTTTTTGGTTTTTGGTGCGCGTCTTCTATACCTCAAAATTGTCTAACTATTCCTCGGGCCAACCGAGGTCCTCTCCGATCAGCTCGTAAAACTTTTGATTGTGTTCCCCGAAATACTTTCGAAGCTTTGATACGACCAGAGGATCGACGCGCGGATGGCGCCTACCTTTGGTCTCGCGGAGACACCTATCCGAGGTCTCGTTTCGCAGACAGTAGAAACCTTTGGTCTCGTTGAAGTAGAAGTTGTTGCTGTCGATGCGCGGCTCCAAGCCGAGAAAACGTTCGATCTTCTGGATCTGGACGACAGGGTCCTCGATGAGGAGGTCACCGTTGACCACGAGGATTTGGTCACGTCTGAAGCACTCGAGCCATCGGTGCAAGTAGTTGTGGTACACGGATATTGCAAGAGGTCTATAGGACTCGTTTATGGTTCCGTTCGGATGAAGCACAAGTTGCTCGAAGGTCTTCGGATTGGAGGAGCTCGTCGGAGTTGGCATCGGGATCAGAGGTGTCCCGGTGGATGCGTGAGCTCTTAGTTGAGTGTAATCGGAGATGGCTCTTGTCACAGGTTCTCTCACGATAAGAAGAAGTTTGACGCTAGCATTCATAGCTCTGATACGTTCTGGAACCTGAAAATTAAAGATCGAATTAGTATAATCTTTTACAAATCTTATATACCTAGAAACGCCATCTATTATAATACCTTGAATTAGTTATCAGAGGTTGGTAAGAATTGTAAAAATATGTCGTCAAGTTATGCAATATTGTTTGCATATAACAAATTTCGTCTACTAGCGCTATATATTATATTAATTTGAATCTTATAGGTAATTTAGTATAAGAGCTGTCATATAATTTGACACATTGACAGAACTGTATTATATCCAACACTAATAACCTTTACCAATGGTTTCATTGCTGCAGAATATCAAGGAGTAGAATTGATCTTTCAGTGAACTTTCTTCTCACGATAAAATAACAGAAGAGTTTATTTATACTACATCACGTAACAATGTTCATTACCAATTAATATAATTTACTAATGTGTATCAATTGTTACCATGATGAAAGATGACAATCTGTCAAAATTGACAGTTACATTTTCACTAGTACCAATTTAGAATAATAGTTATTAAAATTGGTATAAATACTTCAAATTCCCATGTATATCTAAAATTAGAACATCACCCAATAAATCTTTTTTCATCAATTAATCATCATTTCACCTTAATTTATACCAATTAAATAAAAAAAAACAACAAAATTAAGTGTACATTTACGACATAACTCCAAGATCATAACTAATTCTTCATCTCTTCCTTTTATTTTCTAGAGACATTTAACATAACTGCAAGGATTAAAGAGCGTGAAAAATGATGGTACGTTTGTCTTCTGACGCGTAATTATCATTACCAGCGGCATTATCCCATATAATGGAATCTATGATTTGCATGCTCCGCTTTCATCAGTAAAACCGCCGTTTGTACTCGAGCGAAACGCATTTACATCGGAGAGCGCCAATTTGCAACGACTTCGGCAATTTTCTTTAATGAAAATCCGGATTGCATTGTTCAAGATTTATGAATTACCCTCCTGATGACACTCTAATCCAGCGTTAACCTCAATCACCTCATCAGACTTATTTATAATAAAATTATAGACCAACTTGTTGATATTACATATAACACAAGCGAGAATGTCAAAATTGGTTAATTTACATATTTACGAGTGACATTAGATTTTAAAAAATGTTAATAATTAATAATATTACATTAATTTGAACTTGTAAATGTATACATTTTCTATTGTTTTTACATTTCGACAAAATTAAAAAAACTAATAACCTCATTTTCAGTTAATTGGCAGCTGTCATAAAAAATAAACTGTATGTCAATAAAAAAGATTTTCGATGACAGCTGTCATTATTTTTCATTATGTCATCTGTCAAATTTTTAATTGCATGTAGTTTGTGTTTAGTTACAATGTTATTTCATGTATATTTTCACATTTTACTCATGTTTTTTAAATTTTCTTTATTTCTAATATTATTTATTTCTTATACTAAATATACAACTTTTCTCATACAAAAACTGTTATATTTAGCTGCAAGCAACGCTACGATGCAATTTCCCATCCTAGTTTATTTTTTTGTAATTTACTTAGGAAAGTAGTTATACTTGTTCTTCTTTTTTATATTTTTTCGCCTCTCACCGAGTCCTTCCATTTACATTCATATACATGCATTTACATATAAAAGGATTTCAATCAATAGCGTCAAAAAACGAAGGAAAAAAAAACTAAGGTTTCCCTCTGAAGTCCCATCGGCATAAGCTTAGGGTCGTCGTCATGGGAAATTATACCGTTGTTACTATACCCTGTTTTTCTTTTATTACTTTTTTATTTTGCTTAATCTATTAATCTCCCTTCTTTCCACTTCGGATTTTAACTTCATTTCTTCGCAATACACCGTGATTTTACATTTGTAGTTAAAATGACAGTCACACTGACAGTTAAGCATAACAATGACAGTTAAACGTCACAATGACAGCCTCAGGATGACGTCTTTAACGTCAAAATCCTTTGAGAAATACCATTTGTTAGCTGTTGCATAACTCTGAAATATCAAAAGCAATCCAATCCCATTCGTCATTTCTCGCACACATAATTTACAATAATTAACGTTCATCAATATGTATTTCATTTATGAGCGATGACTATTTTAATTATATAGCAACAACAACAATAATTATCCATTAGACATGACTGAGTGCGTTATGGAATTCGTGATTCCTTGAACAACTTAATTCCTTTTTTTTTAAACACGAATTACATACAATTTCCTCGACTCGAAATTTGCATGCCATTCATTCCACAGATCAACGGATAAATTTCATTACAGCTTTCCCAGTGCGAACTCCGAAATCGTATGCAATTTTTATATCTAAACATCGAAAAGTTTTAATATTAATAATAATAAGCCTTTTACCAAACCAATCTTATACACACGACAATAAAAGTTTTATTAAAGCTTTCATATTGTTAGCATACAATTTTCTATATCAAAGAAACTTCAAGGTTCTTGCATTATTTTAATTATAATCAATTTTTTATTCAATTACACATTTTATAGCATACACAAAAATCTAGATATTTTCACTACTAATTCAAAACAATTGTAATTAATTTATGCAATAAATTTTGTACAAATTAAAAATAACTGAAAAATTGGTAAATTCTAGTCTAAATGTCTAAAGTACATTAAAATAAGATTTGACTACCTTTATTTTATGTAGTGGAAATATTTGGATAATTTTGTAAAAAAAAATTGTTAATGAATGGAAAACAGATAGCATCATTAATAATTTCACTATAATAATTGATAATTTGTCCTCAGCACGAGCATCAATATTTTTCTACTATTTTTAGGATAAAGAAAATTTTTAGATAATTTTGTACTAAATTTTTAGTTGATGAATGACAAAACAGATGGCGTTATTAATAATTTCACTATAACAATTGATAATTTGTACTCAGCACGAGCATCAAGATTTTTCTATTATTTTTATGGTAATGAAAATTTTTAGATAATTTTGTACTAAATTTTTAGTTGATCCATGAAAAAAAAACAGATGGCGTCATTAA